GGCCTTCATGGGTTGCTACTCGCTAACAGCACTTGCCCCAACCGTGTGTTAAGGCTACACGGGGTGGTGCGGGGCGGGGGAATCTCTGTATCTATACCCAGTAAAACACGTGACGTTGCCCAACGTTGGCGTGTGCTTCGAACCGTTGGACCCAACGTTACGTTGGTGCAACGTTCCAAGTGCACGTCTGCCCGTGTGTTGTGGGTGGCCACGTAAAGGACGCCGCTGCTGCTGCTGCTGGGCGGTTGGAGGCAGTCGCCCTCCAGCAACAACGGAGGGCAAGTGGAGCGATGCTCACAACAACGAGCGGAGCGCTGGGCGGCTAAAACGCATCGAGTTGGCACAGCAGGGGGTACAGCTGGTGGTGTATCTCCCGGTCATCTCAGTCAGCCGACCCAAGGCACCTGCTGGGTCTGTCCCGAGACGACCTCCTGTCGGCAGCGAGCCTCCGACACATCACGTGGCAGCCTCAAAGTGGTGCACCTGGCCTGCCACAGGCGCCGCCGCCGTGGTTGACATCACCATCAGTCACGTCGTGGAAAATGGCGGCCCGAGTGTGTTGGCGATTGGTGGCCACGTCGATCGCGAACTGCAACCGACGCAATCCTCTCCCGCACACGAGACGATAACGCGGAGGTGAAGAGGCCCCAGGGGAGGCCTCGGGCCCTGTTGTCCGCCTGCGGTAAGCAGGCCGCACGAGCCTGCTACTGTGCGGGCCCTCACACCGGGACAGCCGCCGCCATTGGCCAGCGTCGTCTTTGTCAAAGTGGGGTGCGAGCCAATCGGCGGCCGTCGTCGTCACGGACTCTTGTCGAGAGAACGTCGGCCGACAAAGAGGCCAAGCCCGCCACGCTCACGTTGGCGTGGTGGTGGTGGTGGCGGGTGGCTGGCTGGCTATTTCGAGCCAAGAACTTCCCCCCCCCCGACGATGGCTGGCGTGTTTTCAAACGAAACGTCGTGTCTCGTTGGCACACCCGACACGGCAATGCCCGGAGAGAGAAAGAAAAAAAGTACAAAAGAGAAAGTCCTTTGGGAAGATTGTGCAGTCGTGTCACACAAAGTTGCTTCTTGTAAGTTGCTGACCCGCCCATACTGGAGATCTTAAAAAAAAAAATCTTCATTGCTCATCGGATTCCTCCTCCTGCAGTCTAAATAAAGATTCTGATTTTAATTTGCCGTGGAGAAAGGGGTTAATAATGACGATGGTGCGATTTGAAATGCGCACAATATTTCACGGACATAAGTTGACGATGACTGAGGCGCGGAGCCTTGTCCCCCTTGTCGGTCTAAAGTCGGGCCAAAGAGATGTTGGGGCCTTTGAGGTAGAGGTGGCCTTTATGTAGAGGTGGCCGTTACGGTAGAGGTGGCCTTTATGTAGAGGTGGCCTTTGCGGTAGGAGTGGCCTTTAAGAGGTGTCCTTTAAGCAAGACATGGACTTTAACAAAGAGGTGGGGGGACTTTAAGTGTGCCTTAAAGGTCGATGTAGAGCGCACGCTGTTGCGAATGTGCGGCAGCAGCGGGACGATGGTGGCCGCGTCCCAGACGGCCGGGGGCTGCCACAGTCCCTGCCCCCCCTTGGTGTGGGAGATGAGAGGGAGGTTCACGGCTCACTAACGCCCGAGATCATTATGTAGGCCTCACGCCGAAAATCAATGACGGAATTGGAGATCGCCTCGATGGCTTGGCGTGCTCGTGCCGCACGCGTTCTTTTGTTGTCGCCGTCGCTGCGATGAGTATCCCGTGGATTCCGCAGGCGCTGGGCCGGGGCTGTTGACCTTGAATTGACAAATGCGGGGTGGTGCCGCCGCCTCGCCGCTATGGTGACGGCCAGGTGGGGGAGGGAGGGGAGACCGCTCCCAGCCATCTGATTTATTCCTTTACATCGTAAATAATAATAATCTTTTGCGCGTGTAGATTTTTTTTTTATAGCCCATCTCCAGTTTGAGATTTTATCGCCGCGCTTGTGTTAACGGTTTTAATGGCAGCGCAGTTTCGCGTTGTTGTGGGTGGGAAGCCGGGAGCGTCCCGTGTCGGGAATTGTCACGATATTGGGACTCTGCCGCTCGTGCGGCTGCTGCTCGTGGCGTGGCCAGGTGACTGGGCCCTGTGTGGGGGCGATGTGTGGCCAGGTGACTGGGCCCTGTGTGGGGGCGATGTGTGGCCAGGTGACTGGGCCCTGTGTGGGGGCGATGTGTGGCCAGGTGACTGGGCCCTGTGTGGGGGCGATGTGTGGCCAGGTGACTGGGCCCTGTGTGGGGGCGATGTGTGGCCAGGTGACTGGGCCCTGTGTGGGGGCGATGTGTGGCCAGGTGACTGAGCCCTGTGTGGGAGCGACATGCGGCCAGGTGACTGCCAGGTGACTGGGCCCTGTGTGGGAGCGACGTGCGGCCAGGTGACTGGGCCCTGTGTGGGAGTGACGTGCGGCCAGGTGACTGGGCCCTGTGTGGGAGTGACGTGTGGCCAGGTGACTGGGCCCTGTGTGGGAGTGACGTGCGGCCAGGTGACTGGGCCCTGTGCGGGAGCGATGTGCGGCCAGGTGACTGCCAGGTGACTGGGCCCTGTGTGGGAGCGACGTGCGGCCAGGTGACTGGGCCCTGTGTGGGAGCGACGTGTGGCCAGGTGATTGCCAAGTGACTAGGCCCTATGAGGAAGCAACGTGCGGCCAGGTGACTGGGCCCTGTATGGGAGCGACGTGCGGCCAGGTGACTGGGCCCTGTGTGGGAGCGACGTGCGGCCAGGTGACTGGGCCCTGTGTGGGAGTGACGTGCGGCCAGGTGACTGGGCCCTGTGCGGGAGCGATGTGCGGCCAGGGGAATGGGCCCTGTGTGGGAGTGACGTGTGGCCAGGTGACTGGGCCCTGTGTGGGAGCGACGTGCGGCCAGGTGACTGGGCCCTGTGTGGGAGCGACATGTGGCCAGGTGACTGGGCCCTGTGGGAGCGGTGTGTGGCCAGGGGACTGCCAGGTGACTGGGCCCTGTGTGGCCAGCGCCGTTGCGTGAGTTCGCGGTCCCCTCAGGCTGATGACGGCAATCCGCGACCGCGCTGTGAGCAGGGAAGGCTGCCAGAGTTCACAACACGCAGTGGCGGCTGTGTTGCTGCTCACGACTTTGCGTGCGCCTGGTGACCACCACATTGCATCTACCAACGCACTCAGCCTTGTCCAGACCCACCAGCTCAACAGAGCTGGACGTCCAGTCATGTAATTGTCGAGGCCACTGACGCAAAAACGAGTTTGAAAAACGTGGTCGTCTCAAGAGGCACTTTTAAGGTTGGTGAGTGAGCCGGTTGACTTGCGCCTCACAGCAACAAGCGCCAGGGTTTGATTCTCGACTCGGGCACCTCGCTGTGTGGAGTTTGTTCTCCAAATGTTCTGCATGGTGGGTTTCCACCAGGTCCTCTGCTTTATGCCATGGTGGCAAGACGTTAACTCCCTTGCCTGGTATACATGAGGTCGTGGGTTCGATCCCGACTCGTGACGCCTGTGTCTTTGGGGTTTGCGTGTTTTCCCCGTGGTCGCGTGGATTTTTTTTCCGGGTCCTCCCGGTTTTCCCCTCCATCATTTCCACATGATAAGCCACTCAGTTGAAAAAGAGCTGTATAGCTCAGTGGGCCTTATCTGATACAATAACAATAGTTTAGTTCGGTTCCTCCCATAGATAAACGAAAACAGTGCACCTGGTATTGGGCAAACATTCCAATTCTGAGACATTAATACCTCCAAATTACTCAATTGGGATTACACAGAGAGCAACATCTTCCTCTTCTAGCGAAAAATGTGGCAGGACCATCCTCAACAAAGTCTTGAGACCGAGTGAGGCTTTCCTGGGTAAACAAGCTCAAATTTTACCACCTTCTCCCCATGTGTTTAGCGTGAAGCGCTTTGGTATAAACGCGGTGACCCGAGTTTGAGTCCCGCACACTGCCAACACCAGCGACGATTAGTTGAACCGGTCCTGGGCCTTCCATAGGTCGACTCAGCCTCAAATGAGTACCTGGTGCGACGTGTAAACATCGCCACGAGGGATACAAAGGCGGCCGGGCGTGGTGTTGGCCACCCACCCCCCTCGTGTGCCACAGTGCCGGCCTTCATAGGTGCCACTGCTCGCTCCTCACAGCGCTTGCCCCAACAGTCTGCTAAGGGGCCGTCCATAAATGACGTCACGCGATTTTGGACGATTTTTGACCCCCCTCCCCCCCCCCCATCGTCACACGGCGTCACGAAAAGTCAGACCCCCCCCCCCTCAAATATGACGTCACAAAGCTCTGCCCCCCCCCCCCCCAAAAAAATAAAACATGCTTCAAATCGCTTTAAACTATTAGTCATTGTAGTGCGTATTTAATGTGGCGCTGCACTCTGATGTTGTAGGAGAACACATTTATTTTAAAAGTCTATTTAATTAAGTAGAACGTGTTGTCTATATTTATTTAAAGTTGCGCATTTTGACGTGACGTCACATTTCTCAACCGCCTCCCCCCCTCGTCACACATCGTCACAAATATCTGACCCCCCCCCACCCTAGGTGCGTGACGTCATATATGGACGGCCCCCAAGCCTACACCGGGGGGGGGGGGGTGGTGGCGGGGATCTTATTATTATTATTTACACGCTTTGTTTCAACTCACTCTGTAGTTGTTGTATCCTCAAATATTGTAAATCAATTTTTACCCACTTCCCAATGTGGTATCGACTGGAAACTTGGTATACTCATGTCATACTGATGACATTACTATGTTCTATCATAAAATATATATATTTGTAAACATTATTATTTTTTATATATATGTAATGTTTCGGCTTGGGTCTTATTGTCCACGCTCAGCTCACGTTGGCTGTAATTGCCCCACGGGTCTCCGTTACGTTGTGGCCAAGCTTCTGGGCCACTTCCTGGAGTCGTGGAGTTCTGACATTACCAGTACGGTACATTTCATTAAAGAGCGCGTTTTTTTTTTAAATAAAAAAAAGTAGTTTTAAATATTACCTATTGTCTTTGTGCGCGCAGTGGATGACCTCACCCGGCTGGCGGCGATGCGCACGGACGCGCTGATGTCGGGCGGCGGGCACACACCGCCCGCTCGCAGGCGCAGCAAGTTCTCGGGCTTCGGGCGGATCTTCAAGCCGTGGAAGTGGCGCAAGAAGAAGAAGAGCGAGAAATTCCAGCAGACGTCCGCGGGTGAGAAGACGGGCGGCCGACTGTTGCGAGCGCGCGGTGCGTGGGGCGGGTGACGGGAGCAAGAGGCCGACCGAAACTGAATTTTTGGTTTCGGCCGAAACCGAAAGTTAAATATTGACTTTCGGCCGAAACCAAAAGTTAAAAATTGACTTTCGGCCGAAACCGAAAGTTAAAAATTTACTTTTGCCCAAAACTGAAAGTCAAATATTAACTTTCGGCTGAAACCGAAAGTCAAATATTAACTTTTGTCCGAAACCGAAAGTTAAAAATTGACTTTTGGCCGAAAGTGAAATATTGACTTTTGGCCGAAACCGAAAGTTAAATATTAACTTTTAGCCGAAACCGAAAGTAAAATATTAAATTTCGTCCGAAACCGAAAGTTAAAAATTGACTTTCGGCCGAAACCGAAACGATGCCGAAAGAGGCCATTTGCCAACTTTCGGCGCCGTAACCGAATTTCGGTCGGCCTCTGGACGGGAGCGATGGGCGCCGGCAGGGAAGCCTCGAGCACAAATCCATCACCGTCAGCCACGGTCAATTCACCGCCGGACGTCTCCCCATGTCACCCCGTCGGCGCGGATGCCTTCTATCCCTTGCCGCCATCGAAGTCTCAGCCCCTCGGGCTGTCATGCCTTCTTGGCCGTGACGTGGCCTGCCAAAAGCCCGTTTGATGTCATTCACGTGTGTGTGTACCTTCTACAATGCTTGCGCGGCTCCCTTTCTTTCCCCCCCCAATGTGAACCCAGCCGTACGTGCCTCCCCGTGGCTTTGCACGCTCTGCAGTTCGTCTTCTGTGGGCTTCTGTGTCAGTGACGACGGCGTCTCTTTGAGCCGCACGTCATCGCCATTTAGCTTGGCAATTGTGTTGACTGTCATTGGCTGTACGTGTCTGTACTGTGTTGTTTTTACTGTATGTGTCTGTACTGTGTTGTTTTTACTGTAGGTGTCTGTACTGTGTTGTTTTACTGTATGGCTGTACTGTGTTGTTTTTACTGTATGGCTGTACTGTATTGTTTTTACTGTATGTGTCTGTACTGTGTTTTTACTGTATGTCTGTACTGTGTTGTTTTTACTGTATGTGTCTGTACTGTGTTGTTTTTACTGTACGTGTCTGTACTGTGTTGTTTTTACTGTACGTGTATATACTCACTCACCCACTCACCACACTGCAGGTCACACCAACTAACTCACTCACCCACTCACCACACTGCAGGTCACAACAACTCACTCACTCAGTCACCCACTCACCACACTGCAGGTCACTACAACTCACTCACCCACTCACCACACTGCAGGTCACTACAACTCACTCACTCACTCAGTCACCCACTCACCACACTGCAGGTCACAACATCTCACTCACCCATCCACTCAGTCACCCACTCACCACACTGCAGGTCACACCAACTCACTCACTCACCACACTGCAGGTCACAACAACTCACTCACCCATCCACTCACTCACCACACTGCAGGTCACACCAACTCACCCACTCACCACACTGCAGGTCACAACAACTCACTCACCCATCCACTCAGTCACCCACTCACCACACTGCAGGTCACACCAACTAACTCACTGACCCACTCACCACACTGCAGGTCACAACAACTGACTCACTCAGCCATCCACTCACCACCCTGCAGGTCACAACAACTCACTCACCCATCCACTCAGTCACCCACTCACCACACTGCAGGTCACAACAACTCACTCAGTCACCCACTCACCACACTGCAGGTCACAACAACTGACTCACTCACTCACCCACTCACCACACTGCAGGTCACAACAACTGACTCACTCAGTCACCCACTCACCACACTGTAGGTTACACCAACTCACTCACCCATCCACTCACTCACCACACTGCAGGTCACAACAACTCACTCAGCCATCCACTCACCACCCTGCAGGTCACAACAACTCACTCACCCATCCACTCACTCACCCACTCACCACACTGCAGGTCACAACAACTCACTCACTCAGTCACCCACTCACCGCACTGCAGGTCACAACAACTCACTCACTCACTCACCACACTGCAGGTCACAACAACTCACTCACTCAGTCACCCACTCACCACACTGCAGGTCACAACATCTCACTCACCCATCCACTCAGTCACCCACTCACCACACTGCAGGTCACACCAACTCACTCACTCACCCACTCACCACACTGTAGGTCACACCAACTCACCTACTCACCACACTGCAGGTCACACCAACTCACCCACTCACCACAATGCAGGTCACAACAACTCACTCACCCACTCACCACACTGCAGGTCACAACAACTGACTCACTCAGTCACCCACTCACCACACTGCAGGTCACAACAACTCACCCAGCCATCCACTCACCACCCTGCAGGTCACAACAATTCACTCACCCATCCACTCATTCACCCACTCACCACACTGCAGGTCACAACAACTGACTCACTCAGTCACCCACTCACCACACTGCAGGTCACAACAACTCACTCACCCACTCACCACACTGCAGGTCACAACAACTGACTCAGTCAGTCACCCACTCACCACACTGCAGGTCACAACAACTCACCCAGCCATCCACTCACCACACTGCAGGTCACACCAACTCACCCACTCACCACAATGCAGGTCACAACAACTCACTCACCCACTCACCACACTGCAGGTCACAACAACTGACTCACTCAGTCACCCACTCACCACACTGCAGGTCACAACAACTCACCCAGCCATCCACTCACCACCCTGCAGGTCACAACAATTCACTCACCCATCCACTCATTCACCCACTCACCACACTGCAGGTCACAACAACTAACTCACTCACCCACTCACCACACTGCAGGTCACAACAACTCACTCACTCAGTCACCCACTCACCACACTGCAGGTCACACCAACTCACTCACTCACTCACTCACCCACTCACCACACTGTAGGTCACAACATCTCACTCACCCATCCACTCAGTCACCCACTCACCACACTGCAGGTCACACCAACTCACTCACTCACTCACCCACTCACCACACTGTAGGTCACACCAACTCACCCACTCACCACACTGCAGGTCACAACAACTCACTCACTCACCACACTGCAGATCACAACAACTCACCCACTCACCACACTGCAGGTCACACCAACTAACTCACTCATCCACTCACCACACTGCAGGTCACAACAACTCACTCAGTCACCCACTCACCACACTGCAGGTCACACCAACTCACACACTCACCACACTGCAGGTCACAACAACTGACTCACTCAGTCACCCACTCACCACACTGCAGGTCACAACAACTCACTCAGCCATCCACTCACCACCCTGCAGGTCACAACAACTCACTCACCCATCCACTCAGTCACCCACCGACCACACTGCAGGTCACAACAACTAACTCACTCACCCACTCACCACACTGCAGGTCACACCAACTCACTCACTCACCCACTCACCACACTGTAGGTCACACCAACTCACCCACTCACCACACTGCAGGTCACACCAACTCACCCACTCACCACACTGCAGGTCACACCAACTCACCCACTCACCACACTGCAGGTCACAACAACTCACTCACTCACCACACTGCAGGTCACAACAACTCACCCACTCACCACACTGCAGGTCACACCAACTAACTCACTCATCCACTCACCACACTGCAGGTCACAAGAACTCACTCAGTCACCCACTCACCACACTGCAGGTCACACCAACTCACCCACTCACCACACTGCAGGTCACAACAACTCACTCAGTCACCCACTCACTACATTGCAGGTCACAACAACTAACTCACTCACTCACCACACTGTAGGTCACACCGACTCACTCACTCACCACACTGCAGGTCACAACAACTAACTCACTCAGTCACCCACTCACCACACTGTAGGTCACAGCAACTCACTCACCCACTCACCACACTGCAGGTCACAACAACTGACTCACCCACTCACCACACTGCAGATCACACCAACTCACTCACTCACTCACCACACTGCAGGTCACAACAACTCACTCACCACACTGCAGGTCACAACAACTGACTCACTCAGTCACCCACTCACCACCCTGCAGGTCACAACAACTCACTCACTCACCCCACTGCAGGTCACACCAACTCATTCACCCACCACCACACTGTAGGTCACACCAACTCACTCACCCACTCACCACACTGCAGGTCACAACAACTCACTCACTCACCACACTGCAGGTCACAACAACTCACTCACTCACCACACTGCAGGTCACAACAACTCACTCAGTCACCCACTCACCACACTGTAGGTCACACCAACTCACTCACCCATCCACTCAGTCACCACACTGCAGGTCACAACAACTCACTCACTCACCACACTGCAGGTCACAACAACTCACTCACTCACCACACTGCAGGTCACAACAACTCACTCACTCAGTCACCCACTCACCACACTGTAGGTCACACCAACTCACTCACCCATCCACTCAGTCACCCACTCACCACACTGCAGGTCACAACAACCTTCAATGCACAATTATATTGAGGAACTGACTGTGCTTTGTTGTCTTGGTGTGGTCTGGAACTGTTCTTGCTGTTGTTTTGCTGCCTTGCCCAAGCTTGGGAATTGGTGTACTCATGCCATTTGAACTCATATACTTTATCTACATTACGTATATTTAGGGATTTGCTTACCTTTCCATTAATTGGCACTCCGATCGTATTTATTATCGTTGGTTGTTGTAACTTCGTTGGTTGTTATAACTCTGCTTCCCTCACAAGGGGCTTTAAACATACCTTGATATCATTTCGCCAGAGCAGGCCATTCCGTGCCGGCTACCCTGGTGCAAGTAAAAAAAATTAGTCCGCAAATTACGCGTTCGGGATCATAGATGGCAACTATCGCCCCCGGTGGCTGTGAAAACCTGGCAGGACCCTCCTGACGGAGAGTCGTGAGACTCGACGAGGCTTTCCTGGGAAACCAAAACGTAATAATAAATATTGACGATCGCCGTTGCTCTGTCCAGTGGCCCTCCCAACCAAACACTTTGGAGGCTGCTAGGATTGCTTTCCTGCAGAGGGTACTGCCGTACGCTGTTTTAATTTCCTTTATTAAGGATTGCAACGTCGCAGCACCACGAGTATTGGCGATGACTCGAAGGAGGCCTACATCCAGCAGTGGACAGAGAATGACTAACCATTGCACAGTATACATTCCCTCACGTGTTTTTTTTATTTTTTGCCCGCGACTGTTAATGATCAGGTGCCCGTTCTATTTTGCGGCACATTTTGTTCCCCCCCCCCCCCCCCCCCCCCCCAATTCAATTGAGGTTCTGCCTCTGCGGAGAAAAAGAGGCGTTTTTTTTACTGGGCTCCCAGCTCGTGATAAATAAACAATTTGATTTTCCATTTTACGGGGGGAGAATTACCCAGGGCGCTCCGGCGGCCGCGAAGCCTGACCTGGCGGTACCTCCGTGGCAGGCGGTCGCAGGGGGTTGGGGGTGCGGATGGCGCGCCCCGACAGAGACTCTGCGCACTCTCCACAGGCCAATTCTGTGAAAGCCAAACATGGGAGGCGAGGGTTCTCACGACTTGCCGTCGCGTTGTGTTTGGACTCCCGTGCCCGAAAGTTTCCATCCACGTGACGTGCCGGGAATGTTCCTCTCCACGACGTGCCGGGAGCTTGTAACCGAAGAAGCCGCCGGCACGTGGACCTCGAACGTCGGACATCGCGCCGGACAACAGCGAACCGCGCGGCACGACTTGAAAGCTCATCGGAGGGCCGTACGGCAGCAGAGCTGCCGTACGCCCGGGGCGGTGGGTTGTGAGAGTTCTGGGCTGGAGAGAGCACCCGGGCAGCCTCCCTGCCGTCTGCCCGGCCGGCCGGGCCGCTTCTGTTTTCCGCACGAGAGCCGCAGAATCGAACAATCCCACGGATTTAATTTCAGCCGGGTCGGTGACCCAGAATATATTTCCGCGCCCCGGCACACCACGCCCAATGTGCCTCTTGCCACGGGCCGTGGCTACTGCTGGTCACGTGCCAACTACTCCGGTCTCCCAGCGACTCGGCGAATATTGATACATGAAGGACCAACTGATGCCACGATCACGGCGCAGTTGTGTTGCTGTTGGAAGCCGCAACGAGAGAGAGAGAGCTCATTCGCTCATGCAGGGTGCGGCATTTTTATCGGTAGATTCCATTCTGTCCCCCCCGCCCCACCACGCCCGCTCGTGTTGGATTTGCCCAAATGAAATATATTTAATGTGGTCCGCGCGTGTGATCTGAATGCAGAGCTCGTAGCTCGGACACTGGAAAGCGAAAATCTGCAAAAACATCTCTCTTGAGTTTCATCCGATTTGCATTGTGCACACGGACCATCTGTAGCGCCTTTCTGTAAATCCACCGCTGGACGAGGGGCCTCGGCATGCCTGCGCCAGCCTGGATAATAAAGAGCCCTTGCGAGAGAAGATCCTCCCCGTTGCATTGAAGCCTGTTTAACTGAGCTCCGGAGCATTTCCATTGTGAGATTCGTCACACCGCAGTGACCTTTCTCGGACGAAGGTCTGCTCTACTTCAGCAGGAAAAGCATCTCGTTGAATTCCACGGCATTTGCTTGCGTCGAGCTCTGTGAAGGTGACCGGGCTCGATTAAGACGTGCATGTGCCAGGGTTGTGGATACTCAACGACGGTGGTTCCCGGCCGGTAGATCCATGGCTCACCGGTGGTCCGCAGGGCCCGTGGAAAATGTCCCACAGAGCTATAGGAGGACGCCAGAGAACCTGGAAGAAACACACGCGGAACAGGGGGAGAACCTGCAAACTCCAGACAGAGAGGCGGCCGAGTTTGGAATCGAATCCAGAGCCCTTCTCGCTGTGAGGCACGGGTGTTAGCACTGCGTCACCCGGGCCGCCCCTTAGATTGCAATTTATTGGCGCAGTGTCGCGATGTGGTGGCGGTGGGGGAGATGTAAACCGGGCGGCGCGCTACGTCCTGCGGGTGCTGAAGGCGAGACGCCGCAAGGGCTTACCCGCCAGGCTGCACGGGTCTCTCCGCCAACTTGCGAATGCCCCGGATCTAACGGCCAAATTGCTATCACCTTTAATTTTTTTTTTGTTCAAGAAGAGTTTCATCGGAATATATATATTTTTTTAAATGAGCACTCTTTTTTTTTCTCTCTTTCAAGCAACGGCGCCAGCGAATTGATTTCCCCCGAGGTCCGCGTGGACGGTATCAACTGCCGCAGCAGTGTCAAGCGTATCGCAATTTGTATCGCGGCTGCAGCGCATCGTGAGATGGCTGTGTGTGTGTGTGTTTGTGTGTGCGCGAACGGCGACAAATGTCGCCAAGGTATCACGTCGAAGGAGTCGAGGAGATTTCCTGCTGAGATGAGCGTTGGGGCGGCGCTGAACGCCTGCTTACAGGCCCGAGCAAGGGGGTGGAGTATTCTGCATTCGTGTTGAGGAGTTGAGTCTGTCCACTAAGTGGCACTGATTCTTAGCTCTTTCGGTAAAGTCACGTTGAGGGGAAACAATAAAATAATGAATTTTTTTTATTGTTTTATATATATTGATTATTATTTTATTGTTTCCCTTCAACGTGGTGACTTTACCGAAAGAGCTAAGAATATGAATTACTGCAGTCACGAAAGCTTTAAATCAAAATTTAAGTGGCACTTGTTTTATCGACCTCGGACAGGGGGATAATGGGGCACTGCGGTGGCGATGTTATCTCCCTCGCCTGTTATGCAGGAGGTAGTGGGTTGGACTCAGACCCTGACAACACCTGTTGTATATTTGGAGTTTGCGTGTCTCTCTTCTTGTAGCGGGTCACTTGGATTTTTCTCCGGGCCCTCCAGTTTTATCCTCCACATTTAGGTGATTTGGCTGCTATAAAGTCCCACATATGTCAAGCCACTTCGTTGGGCTGTCATGTGTGGCCTGGTCACCTCTTAAAAAATCAGCATAGCTCAGTGGGTACAATAAAAAAAATAGTGATAGTTTTAGTAGTTTTGATTTCAAGCTTTCGTGACTGCAGGGATTCATATTCTTGGTTCTTTCGGTAAAGTCACGTGGAAGGGAAACAATAAAATAATAAAAATATAAAACAATAAAATTCTCACAACGTTTCGACTGCAACACAAGCAATCATCATCAGGTGTGAGAAGCCACAGCAATAACATTTTTATTGTTTCCCTTCTACGTGACTTCACCGAAAGAACAAAAGAATATAGTTTCCGTAGTGTTAAGCAAATTCGTTATTTTTCATTATTTTTTTAAAAAGTATTTGTCAATTATAATCGATCGTAGAGCTATTCCACACAAGGTAAATGTGCAACCCTGCAATTAAGTCGCTCACGCCACTGCTGGCAGAAGATCCTGCACGAGGGGGAGCGGATTATCAGTGGTTCTCAACCTTGATTTGGCGCGACTGCTGTACCCCTGGTAAATAAAATAGTTTCCACTTTAGTTTCGAGCCAATCCACAACCAGGATTGAACTTGCGACCTTCCGATTGCGAGCCGCTCACCACCGGACGGAGGAAAGCAAGTACAGAGACGGCGGCGTTCCCTTACGGCGAGCGCGATGTCTTTTCCCGTCGCAGCGACGGGATAAAACATATCTTTAATAAGGATTGGTGGGTTTTTTTTAACCCCCCCACCCCCTATCAACCTACTCCGCTTGCCGGGAAAAAAACATTATAAGCTGCTGGGAGGGTGAACGTCAACCGTCCCATTGTTCATTTAACATTTTCGAATGTTCACTGCGCTAGGCGAGTTTTGCGGGGGTCTTGCGAGAGGCGCCGCCGTCGGCGGCACGTGCAGGCCCTTCATCCGGCAGTGGATTGACCACGACCCCGTTACACGATGCTGATGATGAAATGTAACTTGCCGATTGCCTTTAAAATTTTGCAGTTCTCGAGAAGAAGATTTCGAGCCGTGCGAGCAGAGAGGAGCTGATTCGAAAAGGAGTCTTGAAGGAGCTAGCCGAGACAGGTGAGAGTGCCTCCACAGCAAATTACCACGCAAAATGACTCAAATTGGGATCGCACGTAAAGGCAATAATCGCCCCTACGTACGGTGCAAAAGAAGTTCAACGTACGTACACACACACTCACCCACCCACTCACCCACTCACCCACTCACGCCCGCACCTCCGATTAGCACGGTTGGCTACGTATGGTGTGAAAAGAAGCCCAGCGTACATACATTCAGTACATAATTCAGCAAGTGAAAAAAAATAATTAAATCAAGTTGGGCATGGACATCAGAGGACGGCTATGTGAGATTAACGAGGGAATTGAGGCCGATACAAGGAAGGGGATGGAGAGGGAGACTTGGAATGAAATCATGGGAGCGAGATGAGAAGCTCTTTCTTTCACAAGTGACAAAAATGATGGCTCAACGTGGCGGCTTATCGCGTGGAAATTTGCAGGCAGCCAAACACTCGCAGCACCGCCGTTCGTGATGGTCGCCGTGCTGACTGCGAGCATTCGGGAAGGACATTCCCCTGGCAACCTCGTGAAAATAACTCTCGAGGAGCGGCGGGGCAGCCGGGACGTGACCGTGACGCGTTTGTCAAACGACCAAAAAAGAAAGCACCGCCGCTCTGAAGGTCGTGAACGTGAGCAGGCGGTGAGAGCGTTGCTGCGGCTGGGGGGCGTGGGATGCGCCCGGCGCCACGCCGTGCCGTGTCATCCGCCCGTCGTTCTCGTTCCTTACCGGGTAGCGTCGGGTTTTACGTGACCGAAGCCCAAAAAAAAACTGAAACGATTTTTTTTTGTATTTCAAGCCCCCCACTGAGCTGTATAGCTGTTTTTCAGAAGCGACCTGGCTGTCGCTAGTGATAGCCCAACGAAGTGGCTCGTCATCGCGTGAAAAAAATTTGATTGCAGCAGATACTCTGAACGCGTGGATGTCGATTCTAAATGCGCAGGGGAAAAAAACTGGAGGGCCTGGAGGAAAATCCACGCCAACACGGGGAGAGAGAGAGAAAGGTGCAAACTCCAAATATGCAGGCGTAAGGGTCGGGATCGAACCCACAACCTCCTGCATACCATCCATAAAATAGTTTTTTTTGGGTTAGATTGTGTAAATATAAATGTGTCGTCAAACCCGCCACCACCCGACGCAGCTAATTAGTAAGGTTTGTAACGTAAACAAAACGTGCCAATTAGTTATGAATTCAGCACACCGGTTGTGTGTTGGAGGGTAAACCCACTACAACATTTACAGTTCGACTACCGTGATGTTTCGCCGGTAATTACAACAACAACAACCAGCCTCATCACGCGACAAACAGAATTGTGGAGAAATCCTCCTCCTGTTTCAGGTCAGTTAATCAACATACATAATGTATGTACATTACATACAGTATGTACATTCTGCATACCGGTGCGAGGGAGTTGAACATCTCATCACCACGGCACTCCAAAGCCGACAATGTGCAGCGGTCCGCTCCTGCCCCCCGCTTGTTCCATTCACCAGCAAAAATATACAAAGATCCCCCCTATAGCCTTAGCAGACTGTTGGGGCAAGTGCTGCTCGTGAGGGCTTTTTTAGGTCGCCACGGCACACGAGGCCATGGCATGGCCTGAACCCACGCCTGGCCGCCTTTGCCTCCCCATTACTTGTATTTACACACCAGATCAGATACTAATTTAAGGCTGAGTCGACCTAGGGGAGGCCTAGGACCGGTTCATATATTCGCTGCCACTGTTATTGGTCGTGGCTGGGAATGAAACTCGGGCCACCACGTTCATTGCGTAGTACACTAACCACTACACTACTGCTCAATGCAATAGACATGTGTGTACACACACAGGGAATATGCATTTAATGTCTACTCCCGGGGGTTAAGGCTCATCGAGGATGTCCTTAAAACATAAACAGCATTGTCCTTTAAAAACAAACACATTCAGATCCATATGTGAATGTTTAAATACTCAAAAGTAACGAGTGAATCCAAAGACATTAAAACGCAAAATTAGTCAAATTACCAATTGATTTAAACGTTGAGCGATTAAAATAAATCGCCCACAATGTTTTGAATTTAACCATGAATGTTACTTGAACCAAAAACCCCCAAAGAAATCAAGTTTTGTCCCCACAACATCTGAATATTCAGAATCTGGAAGATTCCATGCAAACTCATCCCAAACCCAGCGTGTACGTGTGTCCAGGAGAGATCCATGAAGTCACCGTGCACCCTTTAGAGTGAATATAAACACTTGTCACGAGGATTTTGATTTGTGTACAACGCACCTTTGTTGCCTCTTGAAATCCCTTTTGTCAGAGCCAGCAGAAGAACACTTGTCGGCAAAGGCTATTTTTAGAACGACGATTTGTCGTCTTGCGACCGCACGCGGTAAATGTGCTGCCACCTTGCGAGCCGTGTCTCTCTCCATCTCCCACGACTCGCGGGCTCACGGGCTCATCGTTGGCTTCGGCGTAGAGCCTCGTTTCATGTGCGTGCGACCCGGCATAACGCAATTTACCGTCGGGATACCGGCATCCCGTGTCAGGGCGTCTCGGTTCAAGCATCTCTTCTGAAAGAATTTCCGCTGCAATTGGGAGGATTCCCGTCATCGTGACCCCCGTGACTCGAGTGCACCCATCTTCAGATCGCACGCGGGCTCTCAAGAGATCCCAGGGGCAGCTGGCGATGAGGCGTCAGGCGAATACGCCTCTCGGCAGCTGCAGTGCGTGCGGCCGCTCGGCTGACGTGCCCGTGCCCCTTGCCGCGGCTTTTCGGTGGCCTTCACGTCACGTACCGAGGGACAAAATGAGAAGTGAAGACTTGAGAATTGAAAGCAGGGTAACAGATGTTACCCTGCTTTAGATTCTCAAGCCCCCCTGCCAGGGTAACAGATGTTACCCTGGCAGGGGGGCTTTTGGCTGGCCATCGAACAAAGATGGTCACCGCATTGCGCGCGCTTTCAGATGCACTTCTGCGGCCGTCTGGAATCCCCTTCCTTCCGATATATAGGAAGTCACTGGAGCTATGTACTTTTAAATATACATTGAAAACTAATTTCTTTAGAACTGCTTTGTGTGTTTAGTTTGCTGTCCTTCCTCCGCACCGCCGTTTAGCACGGTTGGCTACGTACAGGGTGTGAAAGAAGTTCAGCATACATAATTCACCAAATGCAAATGAGCTGAAATTAGGTTGGGCATGGACATTAGATGACAAATGTGTGCGGATAACGAGGGAAAGGAGGCCAATAGAGAGACGGGAATGGAGAGGGAGACAAGAAATGAGATGGTGGGGGACGAGTTGAGAAGATACGGAGGAGCGCATTGGATGGCGGTAGCAAGAGATGGTGAAACTAAACTATTTTTTTTATTTTACCAGGTAAGGCCCACTCCACGTTTCTAAATGTGGAGGGAAAAACCGGAGGACCCGGATAAAAATCAACGCGACCATGGGGAGAGAGAGACACCGCAAACTCCAAATATACAGCAGCAGGCGTCAGGGTCGGGGTCGCACCCACGACCTCCTGTATACCAGGCGAGGTAGTCAACATCTCATAGCCACTGTGAAGAGGAAGGGATTTGGAGTGGCCAATGCCCAGCACTGGGTTGTTATCAGCTAAGGGAGAAAATACAGCGAGTCCCCGGGTGACGGAAGGGTTAGGTTCCCGAGAACGATCCCATAACCCGAATTTTCTGTGTGTCGGAAACTGAACATTTTCCCCACAAAATCAACGATAAAATCCCATAGCCAGAAAGTTGTGCCTCCCCTACCGTTTACTCTCAGTCCTGTATGGCGCTGTCGTCTGTTTTCTCACTAAGAAACACGCGTTCAGAGCATTTGGCTGCCATAAATTTCCACATTGTTGGCCACTTGTTTGAGCTGTCATTTGTGAACAGGTCGCTTCTGAAAAAGATCTACATATCTCAGTGAGCCTTAACTGGTAAAATAAAATAAAAATAGTGGTCGTTTCAGTAGTGTTAAGTATTTACTGTTATTAAATAAAATAAAGTACTTTGTCAATTATAATATCATGGCTATTCCTTACACGTTAAAGGTGCGGCTCTGCAACTCTGTCACTCATGCCGCTATTGGCAGATGATCCTGCACGAGAGGGAGCGTGAAACAACGGCTGTTCTCAACTTTGTTTGGCTGCTGCTCTTAACCCCCCTTGTTGAATTGTTCTTTCAACCGAGTTACAGCCGCTTGCCTGCGCCCAACATGGTTCTGAGAAATAAATGTACCAAAAATGAACGTCAGTATTTTCACCGATTGTCCACTTTGTGAGGCATATCCTAACTAGCCGGCAACTGCCAAGCGAATGAAAGAAATTCGACGGACGCTCTTGCACGCATTGCGCAATTTGTTCGTGCTCGCTGGTTACTCTTGGAAACCATATTGCGAACGATCAATGAGTTTAGAAAGGTCTTTTGTACCATATGGATCTACATTTTATCGTAGTTATTTAAGTTGTGCAGATTCATGCATGATTATTTACCAGTGACTCTTGTATTATATAATTTCACGCATTTATAAATCACCTGACGTACCCCCCCCTGAGACATTGCCATGTATACCCCAAGGGCGGGCCGCGTACATCCGGTTGAGAACCACTGCTCTCGAGGGTCCATCTCGTGGGTATTTGGCCTACTCTTCCATGCTGTGAAGGCATCTTTGGAATAGGTGGGAGTGCCCGCACGTCATCCCGCCACTCTGCTGACCGACTTGTTTGCGTCTTCCCCCGGTGCCAGACGACCAGACGCCGTCACCATCCGAAACCTCCGAGGAAGAGGATCATGGGACTCCTGGAGCGGCCAATCAAGAGGCAGAGGCACAGGAAGGGGCGGAGACTCCTGAGCATGACCAATCGGATTCCACAAGTGCGGACCAAGATAAAAGCAAAGGTACACGTGCTTCCATATTCTTGGTTCTTTCGGTAAAGTCACGTAGAAGGGAAATAATAAAATAATAAAAAATCAAACATTAATAAAATAAAATTCTCACGACGTTTCGGCCACAGCGCAAGCAGCCATACTGAACAGTGTTCACAGTGTTCATTGGAGCGCTGTCTTTCCGACGAACCAATAATATGAATCCCTGCAGTCACGAGAGCTTCAAATCGAAATTTACATGTGCTTTGCCTGGAAGATGAAAATAAAATCCTTTGGGTAGATCTTTGTAGTTGTGTCACACGGTCGCTGTTGTAACTTGCTGACCAGCCCATATTGGAGAGACCTGTGAAAAAGAGCTTCAGAGCTCCTCGGATTCCTCCTGCAATCCAAATAAATGCTCGGAGGATTCCTTCTGAAGTCTCGTATAGCACCATCTTAGTTTGGCTAAATTCCAGCTCTGAGAATTAAATGTATCAGTTTGAGGAACAATTCCACTGTAGCAGGGTCGAGTGGAAAAGCGATGTCCTCTACTCTCAACCAGGCATTCCCGGACAAAAATTATTACAGCATTCCCTCCTGATTCACTCACGGCACACACGCACACTGTTTGTTCTTGTAACATTCTTACCCGCCCCTCCTGGACATCTGTGACAAAAAGAGCTTTATAGCTCATCGGATTCCTCCAGTATAAATAATCTGAAGAATTTTTTTTATAATTATATATAGATATTGCAACCACCGCGGTTCCTTTTCTCGTGAACTTAACTTTTGTTGATTCCTCCACCGGTGTTGAAGACTCAGTCTCTAGCAGACGCTGACTTCTGCGACTCATCCATCGAACTGTGTACAACCACCACCAACACTGCTGATTACAACACGCTCATGCACTCACTCACCCACCCACAAGACGTGCACGGAACCAGTCGACTTGGAACGTTGCGCCAACGTTGGGTCCAACAGTTACAAGCACGTGCCAACATTGGGCAGCGTCGCTTGTTTCACTGGGTATAGATGCAAAGACAAAGACCCCCTCTATAGCCTTAACAGACTGTTTGGGCAAGTGCTGTTAGCGAGCACCTATGAAGGCCGGCACGGCACACGAGGGGGTGGGTGGGCAGCATCACGCCCGACCGCCTTTGCCTCCCCAGTGGCGATGTTTTCACATCGCACCAGGTACTCATTTGAGGCTGAGTCAACCTAGGAGAGGCCAAGAACCGGTTCAGATAATCATCACTCGTGTTGGCCACGAGTGGGTTAGTAGCGCAGCGCACTAACCGCTGCACTACCACTCCGTCACCCACCCACCCACTCACCTACTCACGCAAACACCATACTCATGATCAAAACAACCCACCACACTGCAGGTCAAAACACTTCTCTCTCTCCCCTTCTTCCCTTGCACCACTCCACTCTGGACTCTCTCTCAGGCCATCTCTTCCCCCCCCGCCCCCCCTCCCCCCCCCAAAAGCTCGTCCGATAATAACGGTCGCCGACCCATCCCACAGAAACCAAGGACGCTAGCGGGAGCCAATCAGACGAGCAGGCGCAGCCCGCGTCGCCCGCGCAGCCCAGGAGGTCGGCGGGCCAGGCGCCGGAGGCGGCGGCCGACGCTGCACACCCGACCAAGGAGGCCGGTAGCGGCTGCCCGGCCAAGCAGCCGCCGGCCCTTCCCCCGAAGCCCTCGGCCGCCGCCGCCGCCGCCGCCGGCAGTGGCGGCGGCGGCGGCGGCGGCGGCGGCGCCAAGACGGCCGCCGCCGTAAGCGCAGGTGAGTTCCCGCCGCTGGGCGAGCGCCGTCCCCAACCGTAGCTCGCTGCCGCGCTGGGTCAGCGCGGGGCTGGCGAGGGCTGGCGAGGGTACGGTTGCAGCGACGGGTGTTTGGCTGCGCCGCTGTCTTTGCCGCGCGGGAGGGAGTTGTCACCGCCGATGAAGGGTGATCCTGTCGATGGCTCATTCTGCAGGGGGGGGGGGGGGGTTCTCACCTGGCTCTAAAGAAATGTCGTAGAGTTGTATAACATAATTATAGAACAGAATTGTAGAACATAATTATACAACATAAATATACAACAGATTTGTAGAACAGAATTATACAACATAAATATACAACAGAATTGTAGAACAGAATTATACAACAGAATTATACAACAGAATTGTAGAACAGAATTACACGACATGATCAAACCGACGAGGCTCCTGTGCAGGGAGGTATCGGATGTTCTCTCTGCACATTCAGGAGCGTTATCAGCAACCTGCCCAAGTCTGCCTCTTGAGAACCGCATTCGGTGTTCGCACTCCGCTCACTCCTCCAGAGTTCGTGCTCTGATTTCTGTTCGCTTCATTGCTGTAAGTTGGTTGATTTGTCTTCGTAACTTATTGAAGTTGTCTTTGGTTTTGCCGTTTTTGATGACCCTGAGATGCCAGGAAGAGGAACAGATACATGAGGCACAAAAAAACCTATTTTATTGCACCAGGAACGGCGCACTGAGCTGTGTAGCTCTATTTCAGAAGCAACCTGAACACAAATGATAGCTCGATGAACTGTCTTGTCAAGTACAGGGGCCTAAATACTCTCAATGTACGCTGATTTCTAAATGTGGAGGGAAAAACTGGAGGACCCGGAGAAAAATCAACGCGGTCACGGGGAGAGAGGCATGCAAACCCCAAATATAGAACAGGCTGCAGAGTTGGGTTCGACCCACAACCTCCTGTATACCAGGTGAAGTAGTTAACATCTCTCCACCGCGGCGCCCCACAAGAAAACCACACAGAATGTAACCGGTTTTGGCCGAACATCCCAGTGGTGAAGAATAAGTTGCAAAATTACTCGCCCCCTGACTGCGAACACTAGACAAGACCCTCCTGAGACTCAGTGAGGCTTTCCTGGGTGAAATATTGTCATAAAATAATAACTTAATAATATATAATGATATAATAAATAATCTATAATAATATACTAAAATATTATTAATATAATAGTAATTATATAATAATGTCACAAAATAATAATGAGATGCATGCAGTGTTTAACAAACCCAATTGCTAGCGGCTCCCAGTTGGAAGGTTGCGAGTTCCAATTCTGCCTTGGGGTTGACTTGGCCCATGATTCTTCCATGGTCATTTTAATAAGTACCGCCTTATGTGGGAACCAACAGTGGTTTCCCTATGGATAGGGGCACCATGGTGACGAGACGTTATCTACCTCGACTGGTATGTAGGAGGTCGTGGGTTCGATCCGAACCCTGACATGTTTGAATATTTTCCCTGTGGTTGCGTGGATTTTTCTCCAGGTCCACCGGTTTTTCCCTCTATATTTAGAAACATGCTTTTCGAGTATTTTTGCTGCTAGAAATTTCCACGTGATACGCCACTTGGTTGAGCTATCCTTTGTGGCCAGGTCACTTCTGCAAAAAGAGCTACATAGCTCAGTGGAACCTTACCTGGTTGTATTTCTGGGCCGCCAGCAATGCCCACATCCCAGAGAATAAAATAAAAAATAAAAAATGCACAAAATCCTTGTTCTAGATGACATATGTTAGTTAAACATCGCCAGTGATTAGGAGGTCGATGTCGAAGTTCTAATTGAAAGCCACTCATGGTTCTCTGTCTGTGTGGAAACGGTTTAGTTTAGATAGACTCACCATGCCAAATTAATTGGAAATTTACACCACTGGCTCAGGGCTGTGACACGGAGATGAGCACCCTCTCATTTGAGCAGCAAATCGCTTTAGACACGGAAGGCAGTGTGAGTTTCGCTGTGCGATCGTGCGTAAGTGGACCAGGCGCTTTATGCAAGCACCTGACGCGAGTCCCCTGCATTGACATGGAAACGCCAGAGGCAGTGTCGCTACTGAAAGGCCTCGGTAAAAACTCGATGCTTGTCGACAGGCTCGATGCTTGAATTATTCTGAAGCCCAGGCTTGGATGCTCAGGGTTGCTCGGGGTTACTCAGAGTTGCTCAAAAGTTTACTCGAAGTTGCTCAGGGTTGCTCGTCTCTCCACTGCAGGCGAGTGCTCGGGGCCACCCCAGAAGGGCCCGGTGCCGACCAGGGCCTCTCCGCCCGCGGCCTACAAGCGCATGGCCGTCTGCTTCGCGCCGGCCTCCATGGAGTCGGCCATCCTGCGCATGCAGCAGCAGCTGGCGGTACGCTGCGTACGCACGACACGCACAGCGCTTGCTGCACGCCCGCGCGGTGCCTTGTGCCCTGTGCACACTCACGACGTTGGGATACTCAGCGCACACACTACACACTGTGCACACACACTACACGGAACACGCTGCGCACACTACGTGGCACATGCTCCGCACCTCCGATTAGCGCGGTTGGCTATGTACGGTGCGAAAGAAGTTCAACGTACATATGTACAGTCTCCTTAGATTCGCAGGTGCAAAGGGGAACGGCGTGCCAACGGGCGGCAACGCAGCCGGAACCCGGCACCAAGCTCTGTGGCCCCTATATTGGGATGTTAGCGAGCGATGAAACGGTTGGGATGAAACCAAAGTACCCCTGAGAAAACCCATGCGTGCCAAAGAGACTCTATTCCCGTACTGATGGAAGCAGTCGGAGATTCATCCGCCCGCTGTACCTGGCGAGCCAGGGTATGTCAACCCGGACGCCCACGGGGAAGGCGGATTTGTGACGTGTGTGTGTGTGATCCACCAACCCTTGCTGCTGCATCCACAGTGCTGGATTGCAGACCGCGTGCTTACCAGTGAACTCTCAGCGAGCTCTCGCCTGGTTAAACAAAGATACAACAACGCGTACATTTCTTTGACAAGTCTATGCAAATTCATAGTTTTCATGATTGGAAACTGGCTTGCACGTGAGAACTTCTACTTGCTGGAAATGGCGATAATTTGAGACAACAGCATAATCACACTTGCCTTTGTGCACTTGCATGCGTCATCGCAACCTCGTTAATTATGTAACAATCTTTTTCATTCAATGATTCCCCGAAAATAGATAATTGGCCTAAAAGTCACGAGTGTGTCAGTCGTTGCATAACGTTTTGATTATTTCGAGTGCCGCGTGTGAAAGCGTTTTATGAAGAGTTATCTTGAAAAGAGCTGCATTATTTTAATTCATTCCTTTAACAGTACAGGCTTGTTAGATTATACTTTTTTTTTACAACGGCGACTTGGGTGACCGCACTTTCTCAAGGGCAGTTTAAAATACCTTACAATTTAGTTGTGATTTGATTTAAAGCTTTCATGACTGCAGGGATTCATATTCTTGGTTCTTTCGGTAAAGTCTACGTGACTTTACCGAAAGAACCAAGAATATAATTTAGTTGTGCTTTTCTGCTCCTGGTCTGCCTCCAACACGCATGTTTTAGATCATATTTGGCGGTGGTTTTTTAATGTTTGGCATCAACATTCCCATGCCGCTTGATTTTGGCTGGGTCTCTCCGAGTTCGGTGACCCGTAAAACAATACCGCGCACCACATCCATCATGCCTCTCAGTGTGGCTGGTCCGACACTGGTCTGACACTGGTCTGACACCGGTGAGACTAGGGCATAAAGAAGGCTGTCTCCGGTGTAGGCCAATCAGTTTCAAAGACAAATGCATATATTATCAGAGCATGTTTGTTTGCATGTTCACGACTAGTATGTGTGGTTAATGCAGACTTGATTCCTTGCAAAAGGTTTATATTTGCCAGAAAGGGTAAAACCTATTCTTATATTTTCATACTTTGATACTGGCAAAAAAGTCCCATTTTGTGGCTGCTCACCACGAGCTAAAGATGCTCTGAGAGTGGCATTGTCTTTGTACTGTTCACCATCTGGCATTCTCTGGCCTGACACTGGTGAGACTAGGCTCTAAAGAAGGCATTCTCTGGTGTAGGCCAATCAGTTTCAAATACATTGCATATATTTTCAGAGCTTGTTTATTTGCATGTTCACCACACGTACAGTGTGTAGTTAATGCAGTTCTTGATTCCTTGAAAGAGGTTTATATATGGTGTTTGAACATCTTATCAGCTGTTTCATTGTCAGAAAGGGTAAAACCTATTCTTTTTTTTTCATCAAAAATATATCAATACCATTGTGGGGTTATAATCAACATGATCACCCACAGGCTTCATCGGCCGCAAGGCCCAGTGGGGGCCTGCACTTCCTTTCTCAGCCTGCCAGCTTGCCTGGTTGCCAGCCGACTCAGCAGAGTCCCCAGAGCTCACAGCCCCAGCAGCCCCAGCAGCCCCAGCTCCATCATCAGCCCCAGCAGCAGCAGCATCATCAGCAGCAGGCGCCACCGTCTTCCTCGACGTCGCAGGCGTTCCTCCTGCAGCCGCCCAGCAGCGTGATTGAGGAGCTGAACCGAGCGCTCGCCAAGGCTGCGCAGAGGATCGAGGGCTACACCGTGGCCGTGCCGAGGTGTGGGCTGCCTGCTCCACCATCCCGACTGGCCGCCCGCTTCAGACTTTTGCGCAGCGTTCACGTTGCGATGCCGCATTGGTAGTGGCGCACAAATAACAAAAGCTCGCGTTCATCAGTCGCAACGACTGCCCTTGGAGTAACAGAGATGTAATAATAATGAGCGTCGCTTTGGGCGATGGCCCTTCTGTGTAGCGGAGAGATAGAGAGGCCAGAGTGATTGAGTGAACAATAGAGACTGGACTGTGGGGGCTTTCATAGAAATGTCACTTGAAAGCGTTTCTAGATGAATAATCGAGAATTGTGCGGAGTGTTTGTGTGTAAGCTAAGGCTGTCCTGATTTGGCCGGGAATGTCTGGGTTTCAGGGCAGCTGTCCGTTGTCCCTCGAAAGCATTTGTGTAAATCTCCGTTTTGTCCCGGGTTAAACATTTTTTTTCCCAGGCAAACTTGAGAATTCCGCTCACCTCTCCCCATATTAATCTTGATTTGAAGCTTTCGTGACTGCAGGACTTCATACTCTTTGGTTCATCGGTAAAGTCACGTAGATAGAAAAATAACTAATAGATCACGACGTTTCGATCGCAACACAAGCAATCGTCTTCACGTGAAAAAACACAGCAGGCGGACTGCTGAGGCAGGAAGAAATGTAGCGAGCGAGCTACTGCAGCCAAAGGTTATATACGTTTGAGGTGGGTACAACCCACGGGTAAGTGGGCGGGGCTAGAGATGGAATTTGAAAGTAAATGTAGGAATCGGAACCTCACCACGGCGATGCCACCTCAGGTGGCCCTGTCAAGCGAAGCACCCCCTGGGCCCCAAGGACTGACGCTCTTCTCCGTGGGCCCCGCTTGCTTCCTCCCCCGCAAAGGTCGACGTCGTCGCTGAGGCTGGAGAAGGAGTGCCCGACACCGCGGACTACCGCCACGGGCCTCGCGGACGCGAAGGAGGCTCCACCGCCCGCGCCCGCCTCTGTGGCCTTTCCAGCGGAGGAGAACAAGGAGAACCGGGAGAATGACGGGGGGCCCTGGCTGCACTGGGAGCATGGCGACGAGATCGAGGCCTACAGTACGTCGCGCGGCCATCGGCTAACGCGTTGCCCGGAAAAACGCGTCGCAGATGTCGGGACGCCGCGGTGGCTAGGAGATGTTTATTCCCTCGCCTGGTGTACGGGAGTTGGTGGGTTCGGTCCCGACCCTGACGCCTGCTGTTATTTGGAGTTTGAATGTTCGCCCCGTGATCACGTGGACTTTTCTCCTTGTCCTCTGGTTTTGCCCTCCACATTTAGAAACATGCATTTAGAGTTCATAATGAAGGTTTTTGGGTTAGATCGCGTTATTTATAAATGTGTCGTAACCCTCCACCACCCGACACGGCCAATCAGCAAAAAAAGTGTCACGTTGACAAAAGACAAATACATTTTTATTTAAAGCTTTCGTGACTGCAGTAAAAGACAAATAATTCACTACTTTAGCCCACCGGTGTGAAGAGTGAATCCACAACATTTACAGTTTGAGTACGACGTTTCGCTGGTAATTACATCCAGCATCATCGGGCAATTGGCCAGAATGGTAAAGCCCTCGCTTGCTCCCGGTCTTAAATAGAGCAGCAGGGTGACATCATCATTTAACTCATTTCAGGTGCAGTGATTTGAGGTGGAGGGGGGGGGGAGTATTGTAATTATGTAATCGATTAGTAATCAGTCAATGGTTATGATTAGTAATGAGTTGTAGATTAGTAATTAGTTGTAATGTGTGTTAGTGATTATACGCTATGTTAGTAATCCGTTAATTAGTATGTGTTTCCCCTATAAGGAATTGTAATATGTATTATTTAATAATATGCTTCCAGGCTGCACTAAGCCTGTAGCTGCCAGAGCGATTAAAGTTATTTTTATTCCTCTCAATTTAAATGGATTCTCTAATTAGTCTTTGCCAGTAATAATTAGTTTTACACAACACTTCAACGTTATCAAAATCAATTGAGTGTCCTTGTTGAAAAGCATGTTCTGCCACTGCCGACAGTTGTTTGAGATCATTTAATATTTCTTTGATGTTCTTTTAGTCTTACGCTGATGTTACGTCCCGTCTGTCCAATATAGCATCTGCCACATAAACAATTAATCCGATATACACCGTCTGTTGATAATTTAGGTAATGCGTCTTTAGTGCAAGATACTAGTTTTTGAATTTTGTGTACTGTACCAAATCTTACTGTAATGTTTTGCTTTTGCAAAACACGGGCTAATTTGTCAGTTACTCCTGAGATATATGGAATTTTTATTGTTCTAACAATCTGATCCCTTTCAGCAGTATTGCTTTGCGATCGTGATTTGGCATTCAGTGCTCTGTTAATTTGAGCATTATTGTAGCCATTCTGTCGTAGTGCGTCTTTAACGTGTTTGATCTCTCTCACTAGACTTTCACCATCTGACACTGTTTTATCCCGATGTATGAGCATCTTGATAAGAGAGGATTTCTTAGCTGGATGATGATGCGAATCTGCATTCAGATAGGCATCAGTGTGCGTTTGCTTTCTGTAAATGCTGTGTGTTATTTTACCGTTTAGGCCACGTCCAAGCAAAATATCTAGGAATGGGAGTGTGTTATTCACCTCCATTTCCATGGTGAACTGGATGGCCGGGTTTTGTGCATTGAGATGATTTAGAAAATCATTAAGTGTATCTTTACCATGTGGCCAGACAACCAAAGTGTCATCCACATATCTAAACCAAAAAGATGGTTTTAATGTGCTCGAGGCAAGTGCTCTTATTTCAAAGTTTTCCATGTACAAATTTGCTATAGCAGGGGATAAAGGAGAGCCCATTGCTGCTCCTTCCTTTTGTTTAAAGAAATCCCCTCTCCATAAGAAGTAAGTGTTATTTAAACAATGGTCAGCAAGTTTCGGAATATCTTTTGGTAAACCTGTATTCTTTACTAGTGTATCAAGTAATTTAAGCGATTCGTTCACTGGAACCTTAGTGAATAGAGAAATCACATCAAAACTTACCAGAATATCATTAGGATTAAGTTTAATATCTTTAATCACATTCACAAGATGTTCTGAATTTCTTATGAATGAAGATGTCCTACCGATGTAGGGCTGTATTTGTTTAGTTATATATTTTGCTAATTGATATGTGGCAGAGCCAATTGTACTGACTATGGGTTGTAATGGGATGCCGATTTTATGAATCTTTGGTAGCCCATAGAGTCTAGGTGGTTTTGAGGCCCTTGGCTTAATTTGGTATTGCTCATTCTTAGAGATTAAGGAATTTGCAATTGTTAGAGTATTCTTGCGTTCTAAAGTATTAGTTGGATCTCGTTTAATTTTAATGTAGGTACTTTCCTCTATTAAATTTCTAATTTTATTATCATAATCGGCTCATGACATCACTACAGTAGTGCGGCCTTTATCAGCTGCCAGGATTTGGATATCCTTATTTACACGCAGCTCTAAGGCTTTTACCTCGTTAGAGCTAATATTTACTTTTGGAACTTTGCTATTCTCAATTATTTTGGCAACCTCATGTCTAGTCATCTCTGCCTCATTATGTGGAAGGAGTCTTACTGCTGATTCTACCTCAGCAATTATCTCATCCACTGGAATTGTGCGTGCGGTAACGGCAAAGTTAAGGCCTTTAGAAAGGACAGAGATCATGTCACTGGTTAAAACAGTGTTAGTCAAGTTCATTACGGTTTTGTTTTTAAATTGTTCGTTTTTAGTAGGGATTTGTTTATTATGAAGTCTGGAAAATTTATTAATTTGGTTAGTTTTTGTTAGATTAAACACATTATCAGCCGATTGTTGTGTTATGGTATCGATTATATTCCAATAATGCATAGATACACTATTGCTTATATCTAAGTGTAACTGCTTTAGCGATTCTGAAATGTAAAATAATTCACTCCTGTTGTGCTGTATTCTCTCTATTAATAATAATTTGCTAGCTTTGTGTAGTATTTGGTTAGCTTTAGAAGACTTTATGTGATGTGTTATTTTAACTGCGTTTGGTATTACCTTTGAATACATATTACAATTCCTTATAGGGGAAACACATACTAATTAACGGATTACTAACATAGCATATAATCACTAACACACATTACAACTAATTACTAATCTACAACTCATTACTAATCATAACCATTGACTGATTACTAATCGATTACATAATTACAATACTCCCCCCTCCCTCCACCTCAAATCACTGCACCTGAAATGAGTTAAATGATGATGTCACCCTGCTGCTCTATTTAAGACCGGGAGCAAGCGAGGGCTTTACCATTCTGGCCAATTGCCCGATGATGCTGGATGTAATTACCAGCGAAACGTCGTACTCAAACTGTAAATGTTGTGGATTCACTCTTCAACACACCGGTGGGCTAAAGTAGTGAATTATTTGTCTTTTACTGCAGTCACGAAAGCTTTAAATAAAAATGTATTTGTCTTTTGTCAACGTAACACTTTTTTTTTGCTGATTGGCCCTGTCGGGTGGTGGAGGGTTATGACACATTTATAAATAACGCGATCTAACCCAAAAACCTTTATTATGAATAATATTGGTCGCGAAAGCCTACGTGTTAAAATGCATTTAGAGTATTTGGCTGTAATACATTTCCGCATGATAAGCCACTTCATTGAGCTACCATTTGTTATAGCCAGGTCGCTTCTGATAAAGAGCTCTACAGCTGAGTGGGCCTTACCTGGTAAAAAAAATGTTCAGTTAGTTTTAGATCCTAGCTAGTCAGTCACAGCGATCCCCTACTGCTGTTGAATTGAGCGTTGAGGCATAGATGCTCATCTCCCGTTTACAGCCCTGCATTGGTTGAAATTCCACGTTCCTTCGGGACAACCACCCTTGATCTCCCCCACAAAGTGGTTCTCAATTTTGTTGACCCCAGAGGGATGATGGACTGAGTTGGCTCCCAGCTATGATTTGAACTTCATTGGTGAGCGCCTGGTTAAATACGCTGGGCAATTGGTGGATTTACAGTCATTAGTTTGTGACCTTCAAACTGATTGGGTTTCATCAACATGAACGAAGGGTCGGAGTTTGGCCTCACGAGAGTAGCTCGCACAGACAGAGCGTCCTGCTTGGGAAGCTTCCCTGCTTACCATCGCCTGGCGTTTACCCTGAGCAACAAGTTGGGGGGACATCTGGCTTTCTCGCTGACCATTCCCACTACCCCATGAATCCTCACGTCCCTCAGGCCTCCATTACATCCCCAACACTTTTACTACTCTCCACCATCGATCTCTCATGCCAAGCCCAGGATAGCACGCTCGTTGAGTACACTGCAAGCGATATATCACCGTCTCCTCTACATGCCGAGACATCTTCATTGATGACCAAATTTACAAGTCATTCCGGAGTCGGCCAACTGCAACCTTGATGATTCTAAACCTGAAAAAAAAAGAATCCGTCTCTGCTAATCTATCTATACATATAAAAGTCAAAAATTGTGTGTGGGTTTGTGTGTGGGTTTGTGGGGTTTACGTAAAAAAAAATAGCTAGGTACCACGCCGTAAGCCCTGCCGTGTGCAAGCGCTATTCCTTTTTCCCCATCTGTCAACTTTAAATGACTTTAATTGGCGATTTTGTGCAGTTTGCGTTTATTTAGTTATTAAATGGCTAGCGATCGACCGTACCAAGTCACACGCGTTTGGTGGGGGGGACGGCTTTTACCAAGTCGGTCGCGGTGAGGGGGACGTTTTCACACAAAACGCTGAGGTCAACTCTTCAATATGTCATGTATACCTCTTTGGTTCTTTCGGTAAAGTCACGTAGGTACCCACCCCCCACCACCACCCCAATGCGTGCAGTTACTGCTATAGAATCCCTACATTAATATCATATAGCGCTTCGATAGTAACTATTGTAGCGCGGGCGGGGGGAGTGGCCCAGCCCACAGCCTGCCAGGGAACCACCTCGGCCGGCTGCACAATCTAGGCGAGGCCGCGGGTTCTGCACGGGACTAGGCCTCACCACGCTAATGTTAAGTACAATTTTATTGCTTCTTTCGCTAAACTCACGTACGTAGAACAATTATATTAAAACAATTGGTTTTGAAATATTATTCGAATTTTGTTTGTGTGCAGACAACTTTTTTTAATTACTTTTCGCTAACCTCACGTAGAGAGAAACCTATTATTTAATTAATCACCTTGTAAATAATTAATGACTTTTGCGTGCAGACAAATATTTTTTCATTTTCTTGCTTCTTTTGCTAAACGCACGTACATAAAAAACGATCATTTACATAACCTTGGAAATATTAACATACTATTGTTTGTGTGCACAAACATGTTATTTCATTTACTGCTTTCGCTAAACTTACGTACATTCAAACCTATATTTTTTAATAATCACCTTGCATTTATACGAATAATTATGTTTGTGTGCAGACAACTCATTTTTCACAATTTACTTGCTTTTTTGTGTGTGTGCCTATGTCCTTGTGTCCGTGTGAGTCCATCTGCGTGTCAGCGACAGTCGCTTTGTGTGTGTGTGTGCGTGAGTCGATGTTTGTGTTGGTGTGTCGTTGTGTATGTGTAAGTCCAAGTGTGTGCGTAAGTCCATGTGTGTGTGCGAGTCAATGTGTGTGTCAGTCGATGTGTCTTGTCAGTAGATGTGTATGTGTGAGTTCATGTGTGTTAGTGTCAGAGTCGATGTTTTTGTGTGTGTGAGTCCATGTGTGCGTGTAAGTCGATATGTGTGTGTGTGTAAGTCCATATGTGGGTTTAGGTCGATGTGTGTGGTTGTCTATGTATGTGTGTGTGTGAGTCGCTGTATGCGTGTACGTCGATATGTGTGTGTAACTCCATGTGTGTGTAGCTAAAGTCGATGCCTGTGTCTGTGAGTCCATACGTGTGTATGTAAGTCGCTGTGTTTGTGTGTGTGGGTCGATGTCTGTAAGTGTGTGTAAGTCGACCCGGCCAACGCCGGGTACTTCCCGCTAGTAAGTTGTATTTAATAGAAAATGTGTCTTGGTTCGTGAGGTCACAATCAACAACACCGCTTGCATACAAACAAATCATGACCTTTGTATTGTAATTCTGTTCTGTTCAAGTGTGTGAATGGCAGCAATGCGTTCAGGGCTAAATTCCAATATCGAGGTCTGTTAGCCACGACGAGAGGGTTTCACCAGAGAGAGAGTTCGTGTCGTGTCGCTGCTCCTCCTCCGTTGAAGGAGCGCAGACCACAGTGGGTTTTATTACACGGTCCATGGTTTGGGTTTCATGGCCACAGTCATGTTTTGGCTCGTCTTTAATGCATCTCTATGGGTTTCTATCTGCCTCTATGTATCTCAATGAGTATTTATACAAGTATGTTGAACTACTTTCGCACCGTACGTAGCCAACCGTGCTAATCGGAGGTGCGGGGGGAAGGACTACAAACTAAACACAAAAATCAGTTCTACAGAAATTAATTTTTTCAATCTAGATGATTTAAAGGTGGATAGCTCCAGTGGCTTCCTCACATCGGAAGGGAGAGCGTTCCAGACGGCCGCGGAAGCGCATCTGAAAGCGCCGCGTGATGCCGTGACCGTCTTTGTTCGATGGCTAGCCTAAAGCCGCTACCGCGAGGATGACCAAAGTTTGCATGATGATGGTTCATTTCTGGCAAGCACTTTGTGTGTATTTAGCACGACCATAACATGTATTCGTTCGACAACCGGAAGCCAATTTAGCTCGGTTGAATACTGGATGGACACGGTCGGATCTATGTACCGTACAGCAGTCCCTCGCCAACCACGGTTTTGCCAACCGCGATTTCGAGTATCCACGCATAATCTCACGTATACCGTTTTGGCCAAACCATGGTATACAGTTTCGCGTGACCACAGTTTGGTTTTCCCCACTCCCCGCGATTTCAAATCTCCAGCCCCGTTCAACCGGAGGCGCATCAAGCGCGTGTGGAACCCACCACGCTTGCCTCCGGTGCAGTACAGAACTTTGGTTTAACACGAAGGCTTTCACGACCAATATCATCCGTAATGTAGATTTTTTTTTTGGTGGGGGGGGGGGGGGCGGGGGGGTTAGAGCGCTTAAATATAACGACACTTAATTACACATTTATATTTACGTGATCTAACCCAAAAAAAACCCTATGTTGTGGAGTACGGCACTTGTCAGCCTTGTTCAGTTGTTGCGCAGCGGTCTCTACAAAGCGTAGTAGTGCTCGAATTTATACGTCGTGAAAGTTGCACCGCAATCACTGCACCATACCGCTCACTTTTGAGCCCTTAATCGTGGCCCATAAGCGCCGAGCTGGTGGTTGAAGGTGAGCTTAGTGTGAAGCGGGCTGTCTTTGGAGAAACAAGTTCTGAGGAGGGGGGACAGCCCCTACCAACCCTCCCCCATCCCCTAATATCAACATCAACGTCACCGCCATCGATAACTGGACTTCACTACAATATGTATGTTGAACTTCTTTCGCACCGTACGTAGCCGACCGTGCCAATCGGAGTAGCAGTGTTAAATTTAATTCAAAAGTGTTTGTGTTCACTATTAATATGAAAATTATTTTAGTTCACACCGTACGGTATGTTCGAAGCTTTCGTGACTGCAGGAATTACTATTGGGTTATCTCGGTAAAGTCACGTAGAAATATATTAAATAATAATAGAAGCTTGTGTTGCAATCGAAACCTCGTATAGTGTTATTATTAAATAAATAAATAAAACCTTACGTGACTTTGCCGAAAGAACCAAATAGTAGTTACTGTAACCCCCTACTTTCCATAAGCCTTTAGTCTTGCTAACCGTGGGGGTTTGCAGGAAGGGATCACTGTGTCTATGGGTTTATCATACGGTCCATAGTTTTGGTGCATGGCCCTGATCACACTGTGGCTCATCTTTAATGTATCTCTAAATGTCTCTGCGGGTCTCTATGTATCTATACGTGTCTCTGGGTGTCTCAATGAGTCTCCGTCTATATTTGCGTGTCTCTGTACGGTCCAGAAATTGGGTTGCATGTCCACGATCGCACGGCATGTCCGCGATCATGAGGAGTTGTCGGGGACATAGATGATGTGGGCATTCAGGTGAAACATTCCCGGGTGAAGGGAAGAGCATTAGACACCTTCCCTGATGAATTGTTGTTGCCAAATATTGAAATTTGGTGAGTTTTCCCAGTGCTTGATTTTAGCCAGACCAGTCCGGTACACCACCAGCCATTATTTTGGCACGCAACTTCCATATTGCCGATCACGTCCGATCACACATTCTAGGGGTAGTGCCTTATGCGGATAATCCCTGCTTCCACGACAGCCGTAGCAGCGTTCCAGAAAACATCGAGCGGAAAGTGTAGCCCCCCCCCCTCTCCCCCTCCCGGTGTGCTGCGACGAGGTTGCCTGGTCACAACGACGAGGTTGTTGTCACGTCTTTGGAGGAGGGGGGAGTGGGGTAATCGAGCCGCTGCTGCGACGTCGCCACCGTCACCTGGAGAGACCCCTCCGCTTGGGGGGGGGGGGGCGGGGGCGGGGAGACGCGGCCGCACCGTGGTGCCCACTCACCGCCGCCACCCCGGACGGTGACCTCTCAACATCAGGGCCGGGGGGTGGGGTGTGTGCCGCGTGCGCTTTTACAGCAGGCCTGGCGCGGAAGGTGGCCCGGCGGGACTCGCTGGCCGCCAAGCTGCGGAACCGGCCCAGCAAGGAGGAGCTGGAGAGGAAGAACATCTTGCCGCGGCAGTCGTCCGTCGAGCGCCAGGAGCAGCGGCAGCAGATCGGCACAAAGCTGTCGCGGTACGAAAACGCCGCACGCTCGCACGCTCACACAGAGACAAGATTCTACCCCACCCCCCCCCCCCGTTAGGGTGAGCGCTGTTAGCAAAGCACCAACGAAGGCTGTCGCGGTGCAGTTTGCCAAAAATTCAGTTGACATCAAGACGGCAATTATCCCCCCCCCCCCCACTCATACTGCGAAATCTTGGCAAGACGCTTCTGAAGAAGAGTCGTGAGACCGACTCAGTTGAGGCTTTCGTGGGTCACGATAATAATTGCCACGGACGAATGTGCTCGTATTCTCCGAGTGCTCTAATTTAGCGAGCTAGGAGTGCAGGACGAGTGGGGCGGGGGGGGGTGGGGGGAAGGGTGTCCCGCACGTGGCGTGAGCTGTGAGCAGCGCCGGCGCCGCTTTTACGAGCCACGGGAATTGGCGGACCGTTTCTCGCGGATTATATCGGCGTTTACGACGGCGCGCGGGGGTGTGGCGTGCCCGCGGGGTCCGGGGGTGGGGCAGGGGGCGGGCGGGCGTGGCCGGGGTCCAACCTCGTTGCGTAAAAACCCCCCTCCGGGTGCTGACGGGGCACAAACCCTGCTGGCATCGAGCGTAACGGGGAATGTGTTTTACCCTCCTGTTCAAGGGCGCGCACGTTCGTCTCCACGGCGGGCGCGTGCTATCAGGATTTGCGTTTTGATTGCGCTGCTCAATGGGCCCAACGTTGTGTAACACGGAAAGCGCGTCGCAAAACGCGCGCGCGATATTCGCTGGCGGGGAGAGGAAAGGTCGTCATTGACGCTCGCACAGCCTCGTTTTTCAAAGAGGTGTGGGGCGCGAACGCGATTGTACGTAGCGCGCTTGCAGGGCTACGTGGATTGGTGCCAGCAAGCGCGATCGCTACACATTTAGTTTGCGGACGATTTGCACTTGAAAGCACGTGTGGCACGAAATGCCCCGGGGGAAATTGTAATGAAGCTAGGAGCCGTCCATCTGCCCGTGTTGGGGGAATGCAAACCACGTTGAGGAATTATGCCGTGAGCATTTACGCGCGTTTGTTAGATGTGTATGAAATGTTTGTTAGACGTGTATGAAATGTTTGTTAGACGTGTATGAAATGTTTGTTAGACGTGTATGAAATGTTTCGACTGTGGCCCTGGCTCAGCGATTCGCACTTTTGTTTACACCGCTGCGACGCCACCTCCTCGCTGGTTAACCCCTTGCTAGCGGTGATGCACGCATCGGCCGGCCAATTTCTGCACCAATATGACGCAACGTGTAGGAAAAATGCAAGCACGTTCGGAGACGACGGTGTGAAGCGTGTATAAAAAAAACGAGTAATTGCAATTTGAATATTGACGTTGAATTTTCGTCATCATCATCATCATCATCAGCCGTGGTCAGTCCGCTGCTGAAAGCCTCCCCATGCCTTGGCCTTCTCATGGTGTTTTGATTGTATTTGTAGTCGCATCCCAGTTCACGTCGTTTCGCAGATACGTCATTGCGTTGTTATTTGCGTCACCTTTTCTCCACACGCTCACGTCGCTGACGACATCGTCCGCCCCCTCCCTCGTTATCCGTCGCCTCTCAGTCTTCGCCTCCACCACCACCACCACCGAAGCACCGCCGCTACTACTACCCTGCACACCGCTTTGATTGACGTCGATTCGATCATCGCCGTACGCACCTTTCAGGAACGCATCCCCGACGTAAAGCGAGGGTGCTGCTGCGTTTGTTTCATGGGCCGTCCTGCAACGGTACAGACATCACGCAGCGCGGATCTCCGGCCGCTGCTTGTTACGCGAGCTCATTTCGTCGCTCCGTCTCCGCAGCTTGGGCTTGTCCCCTCACGTGGCTGCTGTTCCACCGCCGGTCTTTGTCCGTGGGCCATGATCCAGGGCGTTCAGCAGTGACGTGGTGCCCCAAGCCCACACTTTGTTGAAGTCGAAACGACGCTTCGGGTTTACAACTGCTTGCCTGACCCACATTGCTGCCATCCTAATCCGCCCTCACTACGCGCCCCAAGCAGCGTTACGTATTTTGCTGTGTCTCTCCAACAATCATGGTGGCTTGGGAGATGTTAACTACCTCGCCTGGTATACAGGATGTTGTGCGTTTGAGCCAGACCCTGACGCCTGCTGTATATTTGGAGTTTGCGCGTTCTCTCTCCCCACGGTCACGTGGATTTTACTCCAGGTCCTCCAGTTTTTCCCTCCACATTTAGAAACATGCATTTCGAGTATTTGGCTGCTATAAATGTCTACATGATAAGCCACTTCGTTGAGCTATCATTTGTGATAGCCAGGTCACTTCTGAAAAAGAGCTACGTAGCTCAGCGGGGCCTTACCTGGTCAAATTAAAATAGTTTAGTTGTAATCATTGTGTTTGGTGTAGTTCCGAACGATGATCGTTTCGCTCATATTCATCCTGAGCCAAACATTGCAGCGATCTTTGTGAAGTTGTACAATCGCGCTGTGTAGCCCATCGTCACTGCCGGTTGTTGTTTTTGTTATGAGAGCTGCACAAGTGGTTGAGTTCAGATTTGGAATTTACCCGATTTCTGGAAAAACAAGTGGGTCGGTTCGCATGATCAGAGAGAGCCCCAACCAGTTTCTTTCAAGTGCCATCGGAGTTTTAAGTGTTCAATTACACCGAATGCTTTGAGTTTAATTATAATCGCAGTAATATTATTAATAGCTTACGCTTTATGCAGCGGTCTTCGTGCAAACTGTGCCCAAAACTCTCAACGTCACAAGGCCCGAAGCCTGGAGCCACAAAATAATTACTTGAAAATTATCTGATTCGACGTGAGTTGGTGAGAATCATGACGATAGTGTTATATCTCGAGCAGTATTAATCAGCCTACGTTAATGGCCATGCAATATCGCATTCGGTGGTTCATGTGTTAATAATTCACGATAAAATAAACTTGTAAACCTTTAAAATAAATATTCCAAAGGTCTGTAGGTTCTGCAGCTTCATGCATAAAAAGCCTCTTTGAACTTTGCCTCTGATGGGTGACGCAGACTCCTCCCCAACTTCACACGAATTTTAAAAATCCGTTTGCGCACGTGCACCATGCTGTCATCACCGTCAGCCACTATCTATCTACCGCTGGATGAAGGACTCCCCGAGCCGTCTCGCCAAGAGAGATGGTTTGTGATTGAGCACTCAACAACGCTGCCTTTGCCGCTTTCATTCGGACAGGAAGAAGGCAATATCTTAACTATAATGTACACATTAAAAATGTTGGTTCACGTTATTTCAGAGCGCACGTTCTCCGCCTAAACGAATCCAGTAGGAAACTGTGAAGAGAACTGGATTAAAGCCACGGTTCGATTTGCCCAGCGATAGGTGTTCTGACGGCCTGGCACACATCTTAGATGCGCAGGGAAATCGTAGGTGTCTGGTGTGTCAACCGATGTTCATGTACTAAAGAAGAATTCCAACAACTCCCACGCGCGATGCATGAGTATGACACGCTCGGCAACCCGGCAAGCTGCTGTGGGCGGATGTCGTGTTCTCCTACAGAAATGTAATTTTTTCTCCAAGAATCGCGAAGGGAGGTTTCCTGACGCTCGAGGGTTAACGTTTTTTTTTTTTGCTTTTGCCGAGTATGAATCCTCGGTGCTATTTTTGGCAAAGGACGGCTATTTACGGCGCGGCTCGTGCAGAGTGCCGAGGCTGCGGCAATCGGGCCGGCTGCGCGATGATTGAACGGCAAGAACAGACACGCTCGGCATAGTGAGCCCGCCTGCCGTTCCCCTTGGGCTCACGTGGTCCTAATGGGCTCGCGCTTTGTATGCGGAGGAGAGTGCCCCCCGTGGGTGTGATGCAGAGGTCAGTGTGTTTGTAGGCTGCACGGTTTGTGGACGGCACCTCGAGACACTCTTGTGTCTCAAGACCCCCAGTGCGACATAACCATGCAGCCAATTTGTATCGCAGTGCTCGCGTGCTCCAATCACAAGAGGCGGCGACTCTGATGTTGTTTAGTGATTTTTTTTTTTTACGTTGACTTAATGCAACAGATTCTCCGCGTGCGGTTGATCCGATTTGCGGATGAACCGCGCGCCTGAGATTTTTACATGAATTAAAAACGCATGGATTTTCCCTTAAGCCCAAATTAATCATCTAAAAAGAGTTATGCATTGTTTTTCTTGTAAATGTTTAGTACAAGCCACCTGATTAAACCGAGTAAATATGTGCTACGGTAAATCCGAAATCTACATGATGGCCTCTACAGTACAGTAGTTGCATATCTTCACAACAATGGGTAGAGTTTGATTGATGTTGATTGGCGTGGCTCTGCTATCATCCACTTAGTGGGCTGAGTCTTCTGCGTGGGAGCAGGAAAGTGTTATCACTGACCATGCGCATTGATTGTTAGTCGTTCTAAATCGAAAGAGTATCAATCGAAATCGTCTGCGGGAAATGGATATTTTTGGGTTATCCGCGATTTTTAATTGTCCACGGCCGTCCTCCCCGTCATTAGCGCGGTTAATCATGAGTGCACTGCGTATATTTCTGTACGTTCATAATTTTTGGTTTTCATCCATCGGCATCATTCCCTCTCAGCTACAACCTGCTTCTCTGCTCAACCCCCGTCTGTTATTCACCCCAATTTTGACAGCCTCAAATGTGTTCTGTTATCTGCAGACTTGCAGGAGGCCCACGGATGAGAGCCACCCCGGTGTTGGTTCCCATGAATGGTTTCACGATCCCCTTTGCACGTGTTATGATATGCGTCATCAAGGCTGCGCTGCCCGTAAGGTTCCTTATTCATTCGTGACAACGACAACAACAACAAACCAGGCCCACCGTGAGGCCATTCTTTTGCGTGAGGCCCATGGCAGTTTTCCGGTTCTGCAGCTTGGCCCTCCAAGCCGCGCCTCTCCAGGCAGCGCCTTGAACCCCGACCTCAAATTTAGAAGCAACATCACGCGTTTAGAGTATTTGGCTGCTATAAATTTCTACGCGATAAGCCACTTCGTTGAGCTATCATTTCTTCTGAAAAAGAGCTAAATGG